GCAGATAATGTTTAATAATAGAATACTATTAAATCCGTCCAGCTCCTTCGAAATATCCCTTAGAACTGTTCAAAGCATGTTTAAAAAAACTGTCCATAAATAAAACTATTAAAAATGCGAGCTGTTGGTGAGTGGAGATTATCTTTTATAATTTGTTTGCAAGCAAAAAGTCAAGATGTTAACCGGAAGAGAAGACAAATTAATCGATGGGCTGGGGCCGGGTTGGGGGAAGGGGGGTGCAAGGTCCGCCGCCACTGTCGATCCACCCCGATTCATCGACCACCAGGGAAGGGGCATACAAATTGATTGCCGATTGAAAAGACGATTCATTCAGAGCAGTCCCAACAATCGAAAGCATTTTTAGTTTTTGCAATTAATAAGACTGCTCGTCCAAGTGAAACAACCCTTTTAGTGATTCCTTGGAGTGTTGAGAAGGAGAGATTTTCACACAACTTTCAATACCCTCATCAAATTCTCCTGAATGATTTTTTTGATACCAGACCGAGTCCCTCTATACTTACGATCCGTCAACTCCTTTCCAGCTTGGCACTGTACCGCGTACTCCGTGTTTTTTGAAATTAAATTGCCCACTTAGCTGGCCGTTAATATATGGCTAGTGAACGAGACTTCTGTCTGTTTTCGGAACGAAATCATCCTGGCGGCCGACCCCTCCACTCAAGCTCGTCCTTGGGTGATTCACATATATATTTGCCACGGCGTTTTCGAAATTCATACCAATATATATTTCCTCCATATGAGTCCGCTGAGAGAGAATGGGGTACCAATCAAGTCGGTTATAGAGTGTGGGATCAGCGCCTCACCCGATTTTTGAGCCATATGACCACCGAGAGAGGAATCTCAGATACCTAGAGGAGCAGGCCATCGTTTCTATCAAATAGACAACTCGTCCTATCTCATAGGGGTGGTTCCCCTTCATGTCAGGAAAAACTATAACGGATGCCATCTTCATAGCTGAGCAAGTCATGTAGAAGTATCGAGAGAAACCTAGAAAATGCGATCGACCCCTTCCCGTAACCAATCCTCTGAATGAAAGATTCCAGACCTGGTCCACCTGTTCGACGACAAGTGCAATCCGCGCAGCTTGAACCAAGCATAAATGTCACAGATGGGGTACAGTCGCGATTAGCTCTGGGTCCACTGCTTTCTCCAATAACACTGGCTGACCATAAAACGAAATTCGAAGTCCAGCAGAAGCGATCATAGGGAACTCCATAGAAGAAGAGCCCCAAAGAAGGATGGCGGAAGGTGAACAAGAAGGAAGTGGAAGGGAAAAGGTAAATCAACGGCAGATGATGCTGTAGATAGAAGGAAGGGGAGACGCTAGACAAGAACAGCAAACCCTGCGTCTTTGAAATCAATTGATCTTGTCTGCAAGAAAATGGAATGATGATTGGCTTCAAATCAGGATAAGGCTGAAGGCCTTCCAAATTTTTGTGTGGGAAAGCGTTCCGTGGAATTTCGAATAAAGTATGTATAAAGTATCTTGGAATGAAAGCCAAATAGCTGCTTTTGAAAAAAAAGAATTAGGATTTTACTTCAGGCTTTCTGTTTACAAAAAAGCTTGAAAGATTCAGTAGAGCGTGGAAAGACTTCTGTTTTCTCAGTTAGAAAAATACGCACAAAATTGTATCCGAACTGGGGTTGGGAAGGATCAGTTCAGAAGGAAAAGAGGAATTATGCGCGTAGTGACTCCTCGCAAAGAAAAGTAACAAAAGCGAAGGGAGGCAAAAAAAAACTCTTCATGAGCTCAAACGTGAACCATTCGTGGAGATTTAGGCACAGAGAAAAGATAGTGGAAAGTTGTCTTTGCGTGTCGGAGCAAAATCTCCGGATCCCTTTGTTCAGGGAATGAATTAGAATTTGGATAGCGTTACTGTCACTAACCACTATTCATACTATTACTTATTACTTTATTTGGATTGCTTTCAGATGAATTTTATTCCGCAGCAATGATGATGTTGAGATGGATTGAACCAGGTGAGAAACGAAGGCAGGACTGTGAAGCGAACAGCCTCGTTTAGCTGAAAATGAGAGGGCAGAGGCCATGGGCTATGGTATAGATACGTACTGAGGGAAGGCTCACTTTCCAAGAAGAGCATTGAAAATTGAAGCTCAAGGTGAGCGACCACCCACGAGGAGGCTCGCGGAGGCGGTAGCAAGACTTGACTAAGAAAAACCTTCAAGAACGGGATTAACGGCGAAAGGAACCATAGATAGAAAGAAGTGACGACAACATATGGGAACAGTGGACCCTGTGTCTGAGCGGGATCAGTGCCAAGAAGAAGAAGAAGAGAATCAATGAATAAATGACTAATAACACGCAGTAAGCATCACTTGAAAAGGTTCCAGAAGGGAACGGCATGGGAAAGCATGTGATGTATGCATAAAAATGAAGAAAAGAATTTGTGAAAAATTATTGTGAAAATGGAAAGGAAGGAACGTAACGAGGTTATCACAACTGAGTTGGCTTGGAAGAAGTATTTGACGAGATTTAAGCTGTTGCAGTTGCGTAATAAGCCGACTATGATGAGCCAAAAGTGTTCAAAACCGCCCTTCACTATCGTCAGGAGTCATGGCTGGTTGTTTGAAACTCTTGAGGGATTCACTTGAGAATGGCGCAGGCTCCACAAGCCGTCAAACTCGTCCGTCTATGGGCGTGGCATACTGCCGATACAATCCTTGGGCACTTGAAGCCCCCTATCCAGGTCGTCTTCAGGTCCAACAGCGCCACACATTGCTTACGGGTGAACAGTAGATTCGTCCTAGAGATATATAAAAAATCGAACTAAAAAAAGGTGCCGAGATGTGACAAAAAACCCTCTTCAAATCAAAAACAAGCTCAGAGCAGAAGGTGTAGGGAGAGCTGCTGCTCATAGCAGTAGCCGCACAAGAAGAAAAGTCGGAGGCGGCCAACAAGAATACCGGCCTCTGCAATGGCCCGAACCAAAGATAGGGAGAAAGAGAGAATGTGTGTGCAAATACTGAACCAAATCATAAGTTAACGATTCGGAGAATACGAAAAAAGAAAACGAAACTTTAGAAAAATGGATTCGGTAGGGAAAAACAAATGAAATGGAGTGTTCGAAAAGTCTGAAAATTGAGATAGAAGCAGATAAATAATCAACAACGACATTTTATTCAGAAAAAACCGTCCACCTCTTCCAAAACCTCAGACTTATTGGAGGATGTAAAGAAAAGGATGCAAAGAAAAGGCTATTTGCTGAAGAATCATTAAACTAAGGAGTCATCAGCGAGTAATGATTAATTGCAATGTAAATCATCCTTTCCGAATTGCTTGGATACGAAAAATCAGGATTTTCAACATAAATAAAGACAAATTAATCGATGGACTAGGGGAACCAAGTCCGCGACCCCAGTCACTCCATCCGGCCATCGACCCAAGGCATTCAAATTGATTGTTGATTAACAGGACCGCCACCGATGCTCAGTGGCGGTGGCGCAACCACACATTTAGTTTTTAAAACCAATTGTAGTCCTCACTCAAACTTTACAACCCCTCTAGTGCATTCACGCAGCTGCTGAATAGAGAAGGGAATCCGGACCAGAAACGAATCAGGGTGGTTATGCAAAAAGCCTCTGTTTAGTTGAAGATGAGGCAGCAGCTTTCCCATCGTATGGGCACATACTGAGAAGGTTACCGGATCGGTAAGGCAATGAACTTCGAGGATCAAGAGGAGCGATAACGAGGAGCCGCGCCGCAAGTCGTGGAAGGTCGTGATCCACAATGAGGAGGAATAAGCTAGATAAATTCCAGACAGTGACACGATGGAATCCTAGAACAGTTCGACTGGAATATGGTCGATGAAAATTTTATGTCCTTGCCCAGAGGGTCCAATTGGAGGGCCGTCGCAATCGGGACAAAGAGCACCATATCTCCGCTGATCAAGGGTAATTTCCAGAGTATAGCCGTTTTTATTCAGAATATCCGCCATCTTGTCTGGATCAGTTCCATTGATCAGCTTGCCAGCCATAACTGACTGGGATCTCTGAGCTCGAATGCGATCAGTTTCGCATGAAGGACATCATATTGGGGCATGTTTTGTACTCCGTAGAGTCTGGACTCCCCACAACTGATCCTGATCCTTTAACAAAAGTTTTACCTATTACCTTCTTTTACTTGAAATCTAGAATACAGAGAAACATAGTGGTGAGGGATTCAGCAATTTGGAAAAGAACTTTCAAAATGCGAATTTTTCATGTGAAAAAATCCATTTAAAATGTACAGGATGAAAGATAATTTATCTCTCATTTATAGGCAATTCGAGAAGATATGGAGAAAGTACTCGGAAAGGCTCTAAATACGTCAGGAATGTGATGAAAAAACGACTATATCAGCACTGTGAAAAATGGCTATTAGAGCCAAGCGCCAAGCCACCAAAGTTGAGAAATTCAGGGGTGAGAAACACAGAAGGGAGGCAATCCTCGTAAAAATATATCTGAAATAGGCAAGAAGCGGGGCAAAACTCCTTTAAAGTTATTGTAGCTATATGAACGATATCATTATGCGGCCAATATATAAAAATCATCATGTATTCTCCCCCAAAAGCCCTACCGGCAACTAGGTTTTTCTTCAGCTTGGCAAAAAACGTCTACAAATATAATGTCGGCAGTGAAAAGAAAAAAGTTGCATGAATAACATGAAATATTATGAAAGATAAGCAATAAATTGATTTTTTTGGGCCTGGTTCGGAAGGAGGCCGCACATCAAACCGCCCCGCTCACTTATTTTTCCCGCCTTTATCGACCACCCACACCGCACCTCGTCGAGCACCTTTGCCCAGCCATACATTAACTGATAGTCAAAAATAAGAATTCATTACTAACAGCAAAGATAAGCCCAACCCATAAGGGATAGGTGAAAGTTATCAATTATTCAATAGTTCAACTCCTTGTCATTTATGGATACACCAATTGTAGATTGTGATCGCATTAGAGCTCAAGAACCCTAATCGGCTGGCATGGATGCCAAGCTGATCAATGGATCTGATCCAGACAAAATGGAGGAAATTTTGAATAGAAAAGGCTATACTTTGGAAACTACAGTTGGTCAAACGAAATATGGTGGTCTTTGTCCCGTATGGAACGACCGTGCAACTGGACCAGCTGGGCAAGGACATGAAGTTGAAATCGACCATATTCCACACGAACTGTTCGACGACAAACTCTAGGTGATCACTATAGAAAACTCGGCTGAAAACCCATCGAAAGCCGTCTCTGCAAAACGTTAGGTTCCGGCGAGATTCGAACTCGCGTTACTGGATTCAAAGTCCAGG